TTTTTTTTATTTAGGACAGGGTGTACAGGGTCTCACTGCGCAGCTCAGCCTCATAGCAATCCTCCTGATCCATGCACTACTACGCCCAGACTCCATCGCCAGCCCAGCGCACCTAGGGACAGGGCTGGTGCGGTATGTGGTGCTGTGGATCGAACCCTGACCCCCGCACTTGCCTAAGCAAGCGCTTAGTGCACTGAGCTATCTTGTCGGCCTTTATATTTTTGAATATATTTAAAATAATTGTTTTATTTTCTTCACCTAGCAACTCTAATGTTTGGGCTTCCTCTGGGACAGTTTCTCTCTGCCAGTTTCTCTATTCTGCTGGTGGGCAGAATACTACTTTTGTTTCTTTTCCTGACTCACTGTTTTGTTGAAAACTGAAAATTTAGAATAGTACATTATAGGTTAAGTATCTCTTATCCAGACAATAGGGGCCAGAAGTCTTTCCAACTTGAGACTTTTTTGGACTTTGGTATTTTTGCATAATCTTTACTTATCGAGCATCCCAACTTTGGTTTTCTTTTTTTAAGAGGCATGAAAAAGATTTATTAGAGGGAGTTGCAGGACACACTCGAGCAGAATGCAGGCGCTCAAAGAAATGAGTCACAGCACAGCTGGGACCTGGGGTCTTCTGAACCTCGGGAGGTGGAAATCTGTAGACCTTGATAATCTGTAGTGTTGGGCTCAGGCTCAGCCTGGGTCTTAGAGAAGGGGACAGGTTGTCCCACCCATAGTGAGCTATTCCTACAGGACATGCAGAAAAAACAGTCCCTCCCTGGGTGAAAGAGCACCGTTTGCAAGTAAGAGGGACAACCTGATGGGGTTTGCAGCTGGAAGGGTGTTGCCCAGCTGTGTTGCTTTGGAGAAAGGAAAAAAAGTAAATGGACCAGGTTCCTGTCCTGAAGCTGCAGGTTTTCTCTAAAATACAATTTTAGAAATTTTGATTTCCTTGTCTTCTTCCCACGGGTTTCCGTCCTGCCTCATTCCACCACCACCCAGCTTCCATCCCTTATTCAGAAGGGGTTGTAGCAGGCTGTTGGTCTGTTTCAGGAACTGCTTCAGGTTAAGGTGAGGTGGTGATCCTGCCTAGCCAGGGACCGAGGGTATTACCCTGACTGAACCAAGGGAGACATGAGAATATCAGGTTCCATCTTTTAAAGAACTGTCGCCTTTCGATAGCCTGAGAGAGAGAGGGCAAGGATGTACGAGATATTAGCCCACAGGGTGAGTGGTGCAATGGATGAGAGTTCCAACCCCCAGTAGCACAGACCGAAAAATGAGGACTTCTTTCACTAGCTTGCTTCAGAGGACCAGGAGGCCAGCCAGTTATCAGAGTCTGCGGCAGTGTCTTCCGCTGCGTCAGCGTAGCTCGTCCAGTGCAGAGGACATCTGTAGCGCTGTTGGGAGTGGACACACAGCATGCTGTTCTGATAAGGGCACTCCGTCCACCTTGTGCTGCTGTTGGGATGTGGAGGGCCATTTGATTTTGTCAGATGGCTTTCTTCACCATTTGTACTTCTGAATGTAATTAATGAAATACCCTTTGCAGAGTCATCTAGGTATTCGTTTAGACTTAGGGATTGAGTGTCACCTATCACATTTCGGGGATGGATAAAGATAACAGCCAGCTAGCACTGAACACTGATCTGGCCCTTCAGTGTCGTGAGACTGGGAGGCTGGCCGGTTGCTCTGTGGCTGTGGCTCAGCACTCCCGGACCTGGGGGTACCCTGGTGCACACCTTCCCACCCACACCGGGGGCAGCGGGAGCCCTCAAGCTTTACCACCTGATGCTGGTCGTCTTGCTCCAGCCCCTGCCCCTGGTCAGTAGCAAACAAGTCAGTATCTCTTACCACAGATATGTGATCACAGCCCTGGCTAGTGACCAGCCCCATGTCTCAGCGGGGTGGGGGGGGGGCATTGCTCTGGTTATCGTACATATGATTTCTTTCTTCCCAGTTGTCTTAGTTACTCTTCTCTCGTTGCTGGGACAAATACCCGACACTCAAAATGAAGGAAGGAAAGGTTTATTTAGCTCACAGTTACTGGAGGTTTCAGTCCATACTCAGCTGGGTCCAACACAGAGCAGCACAGAGCAGAAAGCAACCTTTCATGGCAGCGGCAGAGAGCAAGAGTGCCAGGGAGGGGTAGCAGC